TGAATTTTGGGTACTGAGTTTTTCAAAGGTCTAGTGGACATTTTTAATCCTTTCACCACTGTGGAAGTTGGAATTTTATCAAAAGTTTCTGAGTGAGTTTACTTTTGTGGTAGAGACTTGCACTGGTCATTATGGATGATAGGTCTAAGAACATCCTGGAAAGTTTTGGTTATGGCACATTTCTTCAACATGTGAATGTCATTAAAGTATTTAATTTCTCCATCATAAATTAAACTCAGTTTCTCTGGGTACAGCATACTGGATTGAAAGTTATTTTGTTTTAGGAGGTTAAAAGTCAATGGCCACCCTCTTCTAGCTGGAAAGTTTTCAGCAGAGAGATCTGCAGTCACTCTACTATTCTTCCCCTTGTAGGTTACGGTTTTGTTCCATCTGGCTGCTTTCAGAATTTTCTACTTAATTTTAACTTTGGCAAAGTTAATTATAATGTGCCTAGGAAAAGTCTTATTCAGGTTGAGTTGTGCTGGGGTTATGAAACTGTCTGATATTTGAATTTTACAATCTCTTGGCATGTCTGGAAAGTCCTCCTTCATTATTTCATGAAGAAGAGCCTCTGTGCCTTTCAAAGCCACCTTGTTGACTTCAGGAATTCCTATAAGGCGAAAATAAGTTTTCCTTGAATTATCCCAGAGCTCTCTGAGACAATGATTCATTTTTGCTCTCCACATCTCTTCTTTGAGTATTTGGGAGCGTTAAAAAGCTTTGTCTTCAATGTCAGAAATCCTATCTTCTGCTTGCTCTATTCTGTTACTGAGGGATTCTCCTTTATTTCTCTTATCTTTCAGGGCTGCAAATTCTTGTCTCAATGTGTCAAAATCCTTTGTGATTTTGTATTTGAATTCATTTAATTCTTGAGACAACTTTTGAAATGCTCCTTGAATTTCTAATTCCAAATTTACCTCCATTCTCTTAATCTTATTTTCAATCCAAATTCTGAATTTGATTTCTGACATCTCAACCATCTGTTTATGAATGGGATCTTCAGTTGTGTCATCATATCATTCCTCCAGAGGGTTGATCTACCCTGGTCATTCATGTTACGGGAGTTTTTCCAATGATTCTACCCAATGCTTATTTTACACCGTTTGGCTATATGAGCAGATAAGGTGAAATTGGGTTGTGGGATCCAGGAGTATTGATTAACTAGCCCTTTTCCCAAGAGCTGGGACTGGTGTCTGTACCTTTTCCCCTATAGCTTTGCCAAGGACCCATACAGTGCTATGACCTAAGAAACTGGGGACCTGCTTGGTGTGGGGAGGCTAAGTGGCTCTGTCTTATTTTTATCTAGTCTTTGTCCTACCAAATTGAATCAGTTTTCTGGGTTGAAGTCTCAGCTGTGGAGACATACAAGCAACTAAGTCACCCCACCTCCCACGGGCAACAACTGGAAAAGAAAAATCAAACCTTCCCACAACTACTCACCCAGGGTGCCACTTTGCATAGTCCTTAGGTGATTGGCCAAGTTCAAGAGGTCCAAATAAATTGTTCCATTCAGCATCAGTCTCAGGTGGGAGAGACCAAAAGGTCTCCAGGAACTAGATAGCAGAAGTCTCCTGGCAGCTAAAGTATGACTAGCTCTGTGAAGTCAGAAATACCCTCCACAGCAAATTAATTAGTCTGGTAAGGTTGATGCTTTCTTCCCCACTTTGGACCCCTATCACAACCAGTCATTGCTAACTCTGCAGAGGTGTGACCCAATTCCCTCCAATAAGCAGATGCTGCAGAGTTTTACACCTTGCTGAGTCACAGGGAGATCTATGTCTCTTCCACCAGGCCACTGTTCTTTGCCACTATCCATCAGGGGAAGATGAGGCCTGACAACCTTGGGTGCTTAATGGAGGCTGGGGCAGTTCACTCAGTTCCAGCCCCACCCTGATTGATGTTGCTGACAGAACAGAACAACTTTGCATAATTTGTTTCTGTCCTGGCTATATTCCCCTGTGGATCAGACACTGTTTGAGTTCACAGAAACTGTGACTCAGCCCCAGTCTGTGTCTGTCTCAGCTGCAGTCTGTGTTGGCTCAGGTGTGGCTAGACCTCACACTCAGCTTTTGGTTTCTGCCTCTTCCTTCCTTCCTTTGTTTCAGCTATGATACCCTGAGGGCTGGGTGCATCTTAGGCTCACTAAAGCAAGCCTCTGGCTCAGCCCCAGCCCTGGGAGCATGGCATTTCTGTGCAAGCATATTCTAGTCCCCACGTCCCACCCAGGCTAGTATCACCTCAGGTAAACCCCTTACTCACAGGGCCTGCATTTTGGTCCCAGATCTGTTCCACCAGTCAAGCTAAGTACTTTTTAAGACATTAAATAACTCAACAAAAACTTGTCAAATTTGGAAAGAGACTTGTAGATTACTGCAGAGTCCATGCCACTCAACTTATAAATAAAGGGATTGGCCCTGAGAAAAGGATTTATCCACTATCATTCATGGCACTGATAAAATCCCAAGTCTTCTCTCATCCCAGGGCTATCTGACCTTCACTCATGCCTTAGAAGCTGTTAAACAACAAATGTTATGTTTAAGGCCTTTCTATGAAAATATGAAAGAAATTTTAAATTATAAGCAGTCTTCCTGCTATTTAAAATTCATATTTAATTGCCAATGTATCTGGCAGGTTCATCTTGATAAGGCAGACTGAATAAGATCTAGAGCTCCCACGCCATCATGGAACACAATACCCTTAGCTAAACCCTCAACTTCACCTTTATATATCAGTATCATCTAAGGCAGCAGTTCTCAACCTGTGGGTCATGACCCCTTTAGACTGTATTAAAGGTTCGTGGCATTAGGAATGTTCTGAACCACCGATCTAAGGACTTCCTTGGTGGGACCTCACATAACATGCACAATGCAAGGGTACATGTTAAAGCTATTAAGAATAGAGTATAAATGTCTTAATACAACAAATACGTGAGGTGAAGTTATGTTAACCAGTTTGATGTAAGCATTCCAAATTGTACACAAAATCAGCACATTGTACCCCATAAATGTATTAATGTACACAGTTATAATTTAATAAAAAAACATTAAACTGCAAATTCCCTGGATCCACTCTAAATATATTACCCACTTCCATATTCTGAGGGTAAGGTACCAAAATATAGATTTTTTACGTGTTTACCTGGTAATTCTTAGACACATTAAAGTTTGAAAACTATCAGTTTAGAGGGTTTTTTTCTTTTGATCTCTAGACCTTTAGCCTTCAGTTATCTGATATAACTAGAATGTTCACCACATCATAAAAAAAGCGTTACTCTACTCAGAGTATAGTCATTAAAACTAGGTCAAAGGTGATGTCATGCAGCCTCCACTTTAACAAATGAAATTACTGTACTAGCATACTAATTTCTTTTAAAACAAACAGAAGACATACACATTATTCATTTCACTGGTAACATGTGGGACCAGAATTAGGCCCAAAAGAGGTAAAGATCTAAGTAAATAAGTAAGTACCAAAGAAGAAATTAATTATTTGGCTTTCTGTCATAGGAACATAGTCTTGCTCCAAAATGAATGCTTAAGGAAAAATGACTCTAGGCATCATAAAGACAACTATCCCTTCGTGACTTTCTATAGAGGTCCCCATGAACCAATATCTGAAAGGAGAATCTTCTGAGTTTTTAGGGATAGATTTTTCATTCTTAGGTCATCATGTTTCATTTATGTAGTATCTTTCTGTTAAAGTGCTAAAGGTACTTTGTAAGCCTTTTAAATCATGTGTTTATTTTTTCCTATACTACAGAATTTCTTTTCTAAAGCAAATTCCCTAAGTGTTACATGTTTCTAGCATTGAGTTACTGATCTTCACCATAGCCCAAAATACTAGTTTTTACATTATAATTGGTCCATGAGAAGTTAATAGACATTTTATACCAATTAGACTATGCAAAATTATCATGAATCAAAGAAGTACTGGCTTGGTACCTGTATCTCAAGCGGCTAAGGCACCAGCCACATACACCAGAGCTGGCAGGCTCAAATCCAGCCTGTGCCAGCCAAACAACGACA